TGATTAGTCGACTAATCGCAAAAATAATCGGTGACTAGTCGACTATCAAAATAATCGTTTGTGGCAGCCCTAGTCTGTACCAACATGCCTGCACGAGATCTTTGATCGTCATTTGTCTTTTAAACTAAAGGCTTATTAAATTAAACATTTACTTCTTAACCTTAAAAGAATGGTAGGCTATTAGCAATCGTTCCAGCCTCCTTCAACCAAAGCTGGCTTGACACCCCCGCACTAAACTGGAAACTAAACTTCTGCAAGTGCTGTTCCAGCAGAAGTCTAATGTTAAAAATAATGAGATATTTCATCCAGATCCAGACAGAGTAGGCAAATTCCAGAGCTGTCAAAAATAGAAGAAGTCTGTCTTGGACATGTGAAAGGGAAAGGTCTACCTTCTATATGTTATCATTTATTTAATGTCTGCTTGTAAACATTTAGCAAGAAACTGTTTTTGTGCATTTAAATAGGCTTCATTCCAAACAATAAATACACCATTAAAGCTAATTCAATACAAGTGGCTAATGAGGACATATGTCCCCTGTGAAACTTCATCACACCTCCGGTAATGTTCCAAACATATGTACAAATTGTCTAAGCTGCTGGACGTGGGACTTCTGCATGTTTGTTGGAACTGTATGTGAGCATCCTGGAAACTGGAAAGTTGACCTCATGTGTTAAAATGTGGATTTGTGCACTTTATCTAAGCTAGTATGATCCCACTGAGAAATGTCATCCAGCACTCCTTAAACTAGATTTTGAGGTTACCTGAGTACTCCGCTTGACATCTTCTCCACAATATCCTTCAGAATATCTGCAAAAGTCAGTTAAGGCTTCAGAAATGCACATTACAGGGTTAAGGTTTTAGATTATATGCTGCAAGAACAGGATACGGAGGTATCTTCCTTGCTGCGATGATGATGCTGTCCAGACTTCAGGGTTGAGGAAGGACACAGAGGCTGATTTTAAATAAAGTAATCTGCAATCTGGAGGATCCAACTGCAAATACACAGAGACACAGAGAGGTGAGGAAGGTGATGCTGAAGACAGACCAACTGAGCTGCATTCAGATGCTTTAAAGCCAGAGAGGTTATTTCTGTTCAAATAGTAATAATAAACTATGGAGTTATCAATTTATGATGCCGCTGTTGAGTCTGACCCCAGCTCACCTGCAGGTCTTGGTGGGATGTAACCCAGTGGCCGCCCACTCCCAGCACACTGATGATTTCATATTTGTGTGGAAGTAATTTCTTCTCTTCTGACTCCACTTCCTCCTCCCCTTCATGCAGACGAACTACACACACACACACACACACACACACACACAAACACAAAAGGTCTTTTCTAATGTGTCTGATTTGTGCCTCTTCATCCTGCCTGTGACCAGACGTCTGACTGCAGCAGCTTGAAGGCTGCATCAATGAAGGATGGAGGAGAGTCATGAGAGGAGCACAGGTGTGTCCACGATGTATAAAACAGGTGCACGACACAGTCTCAATACACGAGCTGTGGCAGGAAGTCTTTATATTACAGATATTTTAGTCATTCCTCCAACTCATCAAAGGTGCCTTGTTGAGTGGCTGTAAACATCTGCAAAACTGAGGTTTTGCGTGATTGGACATCCAAATAGTGTAGAAACTTCAAGTATCTAAACTAGAAGGAGAAGATGTGAGGAAAAGCAATTTTATTTTTTTACCTCCAGAGTCAACAACGATATCCACTCCCAGTCCTCCCGTCTCCTCCATAACCGCCGACAGCAGTTCTGATGAGCTGTTATACACTGGAATAACTCTGGCTTCACACATAAACACACATATATGACAGAATGAGTCACTGCAGCTCAGAAAACATTTAAAACTGAGAAACCGACTGAGTTGTGTGTAATTCTACTCTGATCGCATTTAATTTGCAAACCGCAGTTTTCACTAACGACCACATGATGGCAGCAGAGTTTAGATGATGTAATTATTTCAGCTCAAACACCAATGACAGTTATGTTACCAATCAAGCTAGGAAGCAAGGCAAGTCAGTGGGGAAGAGAGGAAAAGAGCTCACCTACTAAGGGATCCTGAACACCTGAGGAGAATATGAAGGTGAGGAGAGGACAGGATGCAGAGATGAAAACAGGTTGGAAGCAGAGTATGTGAATATGAAAGGAATGACAAGAAAAGGCCAGTTGCAGTATCTCAAAATGTGATTTTGGAGAACATTTCAAAGATGATCATCAAGTTTTCCAATGCGAGCTACAGAAATGTCAGCGTGGGTCGGTACGCACCTACGCTGGGCCGAAGCTGCTCCAGGAAACTGTGATTCTGCGGCGAGTGTGACGTCGTCAGCACCTTCGCCCCGTGGTAACAAGCCAGCTGGATGCACATGAGGCCAAAAGACTTCGCAGCAAGAGGGATGAGATCATTACTCGTGCGTGCACTCGCTTTACAAGGTCGCACACAGTTTATATTTTGAGTGTTTTTACGTACGCTGGCTCCGTCCGTGACCAGGAGCGTGTGTCCGGCTGCCATACGAGCATGTGTGTGCAGAGCAGTGTAAGCGCAAAGGCCGTCGCGCAGCGCTGCTGCCACACACACCGAGCTGAGCTTCTCTGGCTTCTGAACTGGAGATCGCAGAAACACAAAAATGCTCACTGAACAGCTTTTTATAGAATTTTATTTACAAGATTTCAACTTTTAAGAACTTTTCGTTGCTCTAAAATCCATCTGCCTAGAAGGTGATTGTCACTCTGCTCTTTTCCAAAGATTATAAATGTAGGCAGAGACTATGGGGGTGGATCAGGGCAGTGTGTGCACTTCAGGTGCTTTTACATTTGTTTCCATCTGAAAGTTCTGATTCAAAAAAGTTGAAAGTTGATGCGGTGCAGAGGTGCAGAGGTAAGGTGGACACACAAAAACATTCTGCCCGTCGACTTTGAAGCAGAGCCGAGAACGGGTTCACCTTTTAGATCAGAGTGACCTTTTTTTCTGAAATGATCGGTGAGTCAGTGCTGTGATAGTTAGTATAGTCGAGAGTCAGAATAAAAAACATAACAGACCTAAAAGAATTTAGAAGTAAGTTTACTATGTCATAAAATCTGATAGATGAAAGTAGGAAAAATAAAATTCACATAATAAAGATGTGAGAGAGCGTGCATCTCACCTAAATAATATTCATCGGTGTCAATGACCTCACAGAGTCCTGAGAAGCTGGAGTCCAGGGGAAGGATACCTGAAGAGGGAAGAGGAAAATGGGAAATGTGGAACCACTTTCACAAAGATAAAGTTTGGAGAAATCAAACAGACTTCAGAGAGATCTCTAAAGTCTTTGTACTACAGTACAATGAATTATGGGTGAATTAAGACTTGCTTGTAAGAACCAAGTGACTCCATGTCTATTTACCGTAGCAGAGAAATGTATTTTCTAACAATTCAATAGTTAAAAGGAAATTTTACTTTGAAAATTTAGTGGGAAAAAAGTGTTAATCCGACTGTGCATTAAGGAGACAAAAAAACCTCATCACCGAGTTAGCTCGGGGTCATCAAGGTTATCAAATTCTTTTGGTTTTAAATGACTGTTAGTGTCTTTATTTTTGTGCAAGTTAGGACGTGTTTAACCCTACAAACCCATCCAAGTGTGTTAAAGTTATTTTGGTTATGACATCTTCTTGAATATGATCTAACAACATTCAAGGTTTCAGTCAGATCTAATATTAAAACATGTCCAACTTTGAAAACTGAGTCACAGCTCAGAAACAATGAACAATCAAAGACATCTGTAAACTCAAGTATTTATTCTTAAAAAGATTTAAACTTATAGAAATTCCCAAGTTGCAAAACCTCACATTCTCCATTTAAAACATCATCCCTACCTACAACCTCGTCCTCCGGCTGAAAGAAGGTAACCTTGGGACCAACTGTCAGGAACAAACAAGGAAACAGACACAAAAATTAAGAGCCGTGAATGATGCATCACAAGGTCTCTTACTCACTCGGCACGAAAACACACACGTGTGAATTTGTTCTGAACAATAAAGCTAATTTCAGAGTCAAAATTTGTGTGTGTTTGCGACCTTGAAGGACGACCCCGGCCACCTCTCTGCCGACAGGGATTAAATCCCTCTGCATCCCGACATCTCTGAACAGCTGTAATAGACAGTTTACAAGTAGTGAGTTATTATCAGTGATGCATTTATCAAATTATTTCAGTTCAGAGGCAACAAAAGCAGCAAGAAAGAAAAATTAAACCACAAATGTGTATTTTTTTGATGTTTTTAAACACATTGTGAGTGTGCCACAAACAAACACCTTTAAACAAACAGCTTTTCTAACCCAGCTGTGTTTGTAAATTGCTGCCAAGTCAAATGAAATTAATCATCCTCCTCTGATTTGGACACAGGAAGCATCAAACCAGACCAAACCCTTTGGTCTGGTTTGACGTTTCTGCAGGAATGTGCCAAGTGTGGTACGAAGGAGGGGACATCAGGTAGGTAGATTTTTTAAAATAATATTTTAAAGCATTTTGAGATCAGGTCCATCCTCTTAATACGATTAGAAATCTCTTCAACATTTACAATATCACAGTTAATAATAGATTAAGCCCTGCTGTAGGATACTGTAGCTCATTAATGGGAGTTACGATGAGCTACTACCTATATGGGAAAGCCTGGAGCCTGAGTGAATTAAGGTAAAGCCCTGAGTTATATTTATTTTTGGATGGTTCACTTATGAAACAATTATGTTTCTTACTTTTTGTAGTTTTATTCTTTTACTTGGCGGCACTGTGGTGCAGTGACTCTGCCTTGCAGCAAGAACATCCTGGGTTTGAATCTAT